CCCCAAAACCCCAAAACCCCAAAACCCCAAAACCCCAAAACCCCAATTCTCTCTGTAATTATTGATTTCTCTCTTTAGTATGATTAATCGATGATCCTCTAAAACATTTCATAAAATTACCTTATAATCAAAAGTAAAAATAGCGAATAGAGAGCAATGGTAGGTCTACTGCTGGTTTTGAGGGTTCTAGTCAGTCTTGAGAGCTGAAAAATAGCTCTAAAATGATGACAGGAAATGGTCTAACTGACTTGCTTTAGGACGAGAACCATAATAACAATAATAGTATCGTAGTTCAGCAGAAGCAGGACCTATTACCACTGAAAGGGCTCAAAATATCAAGGTAAGCCAAATACCTAGGTTTTTAGCCTGGAAGACATGAGCTTTCAGGATCGATTTTGAGTGTGCTCCTTATACATTCAGCCTCGTGATTTTCAAGCTCTTAGTCCAACTCTCAAACTAACTTTTTATACTTTAGTTCAGAAGAGGTTCCTGATGATGTTGAACTTCTGAAGGATGGAAACAAAGAGGCTACCAAAATCAACTTTGAAAGCACACAACAAGCGAGACAGCTAAAGGAAGCTGGATCTAGCACTTTGAGTGCTAATGTTGCCACGAAAGATGTTAACACCAGCACCCTTAAGGGGTGTCCTGGGGATGACACTAGCAATTTCAAACCGGCCAATGAAACTCAAGATGATGGTGACACCCGTGGGAATACTACCGGAGAAGCTCGAGAAGGGAGCTCTGACGAAGGAGATACTCATAATTTCTCCAAAAATGCTACTCTAGACAAGACTCTGAGCTATGATGAAGGGGCTACTCTAATCAGGGAACGTTTCCTGAAGAATTCGACTAAAGCCCAGTCACAAAATTTCCAGAACGGTAAAAGTGTTGAGATCACACTGGATCACCCAAAGAGCGAGGGCAATCCAGCAATTGGAGACTCTAGCTCTGGCAAATCTTTGACGAACTCTACAAGGAAAGAAGAAAAGACAAGGAGAAACCGGGTGAAGCCTAATTACTCACTAGAAATGGCAAAAACATCTCATGCTAAAAAGAGGTTCGAGGAGTCCCCTAAATCTCCTGAAGAAGCTCCTCCTGCCCCTCCTAGGCAAATTTCAAAGAGCAAGGCCAAAGAAATTTGCCTGAACTGGATTAAGAGCTTAATCGCTCTTGAAGCAAAAACAAATATGGAAGACGATAAGGAACTTCCTGACGCTGAAGTATCTGAGTACTGCTCAAATAAGATGTGACCAATATCTATCAACAAAATCCAGAAGACCCCCAAAATCATGAAACAGCTCAAGAGAGTGAGGATGAGGAAGGTCCACCTGGAAAACGAGTACATGAACGAAGACAGATGGTACTGCCTAAAATGTCTTCAATCCCATGAACAGTCACTATCCTGTCTCTATTGCTCCCAAGTCTATTTCATTGAGGAGGAAGTATTGGAAGACGAAGAGAAAGTCTGGATTTGTTGCGACAAATGCGATAGATGGGTAAGCCACCATACTTTTCTACCACATATCTAATATTCATATTTAGATCCACTTGGAGTGAGAAATTCAGACAGGAAAGAATTCCAAATTGAGACATCAAGATTACGACTCTGAAAGCTTCAGGTACTCATGTCCTGAATGCAAACCAAGCTCAACAAAAAAGAAGACAACTAAGAAAGAACAGAGGAAAGCAGCTAAGAAAGGCGTCAAAACCAAGCCAGAAGCTGCTAAGAAAGGACGAAGGAACACAGGGAACTCAGAAGTGTCCGGTAGCGTTAATGACGGTGAGAAAGCACCAAAAATTCCTCTAAGAGCTTCAGTATCTCAGAGAAGGAGATCTGACCTCAATTCGAGTTCCTACTCAAATTCACTAGACGACGTCTCTCAGAAAGATAAAAATGTCGTCTTTGAAAGTGACGCAAAGATGGCTGACGAAAGTTCGGAAATCAACAACTATGTAAGAGAAGACTCCCAAATGTGCAGCAATGAAGAAAGTAAGAGAAGGAGCACTGAACTCAGTTCCAAAAATCACTCTAGAGAGACCAAAGAGAACAGAAGGAGTAATAGGACTAGGAAGGTGAAAGAATCAAAAGCTTCCAAGGAAAATATGGCTAAAAATAGAAAGAACCTCAAAAGAAATCATGAAGAATACAGCCAACAGGACTACAGCAATGGAAGAGAGTCTGTTCAGGAGCTTACACTGTACAGAAGCCTAAAAATTGCCAGGGAAAGAGAAGACATTGTTGAAGCAAGAACTCTGGCACCTAAAGTTCTACAGTTTTGAGGTTTATCCCCAGCCCAAGTCGCTGAAAGAGTCGAGAAAGATCTAGAAATTATCATGCAACACCTGGCTGAAGATATGAAGAATGACGAGAACCTCAGAGACTCATTTATGGGAGAATTCTCTCAGAGAGACATTTACTTCAACAGTCCTGAGAAAGACACTGAAAGAGGAGCATACTGAACAAATTCATCAATGAATTTGGCTAGTAGTAGCTTTGGAGGAGCTACAAATGCAAATGAGCATGGTAAATCGTTGAGATCAAGAAGAACTAGAACAGCTACTTCCAAAAACTACTAATTTAAGCTTATTAAGAGCTTTAAGCCTAACCTAATTGGTTGGTATGGATGCCCTATTAGCTCCTAAAGTAATTCAGATAATATATTTATTAAAATAAATCATAAATTTTAAATCATGATTCCACAATGAAAATTTGATGTGGGGTTTTGGGGTTTTGGGGTTTTGGGGTTTTGGGGTTTTGGGG